TGCGCAAGTCATCCAATTCTAAGGCAGGCATTTCTGGTTTGCCGGAGCCCAGGCGATTCTGTGGTCCAAGACCAGGAGCGGGCTGGTCTGCCTTACATCAGATCAGCCCGCCAATCGTCCCAAACACTTGAGTTTCATTTCACCTTGGGATCAAAAGGCAACGCCCAAAGTGACGCCGTATGTACGCGGCCCCCCAATGTGATTGTAGTCAAAACCAAATCCCGAGAGAAGGTCGACGCTTGAGCTAAAATAGAACTTATTAGCCAGGTTCTTACCCCAAATAGACCCATTGAAACGCCCGTCTGCACTCTAGCAGTCCACGCACCCATAGGCCGATGGGGAGGGGGAGGAGGACGAGGCGCCGCCGGCCGTCTTTGAGGAGGGCGAGCTCGGCTGCTTTTGCGACACCGACCGCCACCTGCCGACCAACGACGTTCCGTTTGAGGGCGTGTGGATTAGCTGCGACGTGTGCGGCCGCTGGTGCCACGGCGAGTGCGCCGGGATGGACAAGCAGCAAGCCGAGGAGACGGAGGAGTACACGTGCCCGCTCTGCGCCGCGCAGCCGCCGCGCGAGGGGCGCGACGCTCCCGCCGCTGCCGGCGCGGGCGCCAACGAGCCGGCCTCTTCCGCCGCGGCCGCCGGGCAACCAGAGGATGGCGAGGAGGGCGAGGAGGGCGAGTCGGGCGAGTCGGGCGAGTCGGACGTCGGCTCCTCCGAGGAGAGCGGCGAGGAGGGGGGCGGCGAGGAGGAGGAGAGCGGCGAGGAGGGCGAGGGCGTCGATCTGATAGAGATCTTGGAGGGGGTGGGTGGCCTCGCGGGGCCCGGCGGCGACGGCGACGCGGAGGCGGAGGAGGAGGCCGAGGAGGAGGAGGAGGAAGAGGAGGAGGACCTGTTCCACATGAGCCGCCCCGCCGCCGCGTCGTCTTCGGCTGACGAGGACGACGACGACGACGGCGGCGTCGGCGGGATCGACACCGGGGAGGCTTTTCCGGGCGACGACGAGGCGGAGGAGGAGGGCGAGGAGGAGGAGGAGGGCGAGGAGGACGAGGGAGAGGAGGAGGGCATCGAGGACATGGACATGGAGGGCATGGAGGAGGGTGGCGTGGGCATGGACGAGGGCTGCGGGGCGGGGGGCGAGGAGGCCGGCGAGGAGGGCGGCGAGGAGGGGGCGGAGGATGCCGTTGGCGCGAGCGGCGACGTGCTCGCCGCGGAGGTCGGCGGAGAGGCGGAGGCGAGCGACTCGGGCGACGACGAGATTGGCGCCGAGGCGGAGGCTGGCGACGAGGGCGGCGACGAGGCGGCGGCGGAGGAGGCCGGCGGGGAGGTTGGCATTGGCGAGGCCGCGGCCGAAGAGCCAGGGCTTTGCAGCGGCCAGGCGGCGGCGCAGGCTCCAGAGCAGAGGGCCACGGCTGCCGCGGAGGCGGGCGAGGCGGCGGAGGCGGGCGGGGCGGCGGAGGCTGGCGAGGCGGCGGAGGCTGGCGAGGCGGCGGAGGCTGGCGAGGCGGCGGAGGCGGGCGAGGCCGCAGTGGCGGAGGCTGGCGAGGCCGCGGCCCTCGGCGCAGGCGGCGCCATCGAGCCCGCTGCGCAAGAAGGCGGGGCTGGTGAGGCCGCCTCCGCCGCAGCAGCCGCGGGCGAGACTGGCGGCGAGACTGGCGGCGAGACTGGCGGCGAGACTGGCGGCGAGCTTGGCGGCGAGGTCGGCGTCAAGGTCGAGGCTGGAGAGGGCGCGGGCGAGGGCGAGGCGAGCGGCGGCGGCGCGGAGGGCGGCGCGGAGGGCGGCGCGGAGGGCGGTGCGGAGGGCGGTGCGGAGGGCGGTGCGGAGGGCGGTGCGGAGGGCGGTGCGGAGGGCGGTGCGGAGGAGGCCGCCGGCGCGGAGGGGGGCGCTCTGCCGCCCGCCGCGTCGAGCATCAGCCGCGTCTCATCGGGCGGGCGGTGCCGCGTCTGCCGGCAGCGGCAGTGCCGCAACGGCCCCGCATGCAAGGAGGCGCGCGCGCGCGAGCGCAGCGGCCAGCCGTACCACGAACCGCCGCGCGTCCGCTCGCGCCCGTCGGAGCGGGCGGCGGCGTCGGAGCCGAGCGCGATGGAGGTCGACGTCGACGGCGGCGGCGGCAGCGGCGGCTGCGGCGGCGGCGGCGCATTCGTCAAGCCGGAGCCGCCGCCGTTTGCCTTCGAGGCGCGCCCGTCCCGGCGCGCCGCAGTGAGCGCGCGCGACGGCATCGCGGCGCTGGCGCAGGCGGCAATCCTGCGCCGGCGGAGAGGCTGAATTAACGAGTGAATCCACTCATTGGCTGGCTACTCACCAATAGGCGGCCGTATCCGCCGGAGGAGAGGCTGCGGTCCGGGACAGCTCTCCGGGCGCGCGGCTGTGGCAAGGCCGCCGTGTCTTGCCACGAGGGTCTGCTGCATGGATGGGCCAGCCTCCAGACGGCGCTGGCCACTTCGGGGGAGGGAGGGCGGCGGCCGCGGGCGGTGGCGGCGGCGACGGGGCGGCGGAGGGGGCGGGCGCGGCGGACGCGGGCGTCGGGCTTGTCGTCGGCTGCAAGGCGCGGGTGCACCGTCCGGGGGCGAGCTTGAATGAACGAGTTGATGAGCTGATAGAGTACGAATGAGCAGGCGCGGGTGCACCGTCCGGGCGAGCTGCACGGCCTGAGCGGGCTCTGCGTCGCCGCGAAGTGCGGCTACTACCAGCTGCAGTTCGCAAACGGCCGGCAGGCGCACTTTCGAGGCCGCGAGCTGTCGCTGGCGGTGCCCGGGGCGGCGGGCGACGCGCCGCTTCCCGCGCGCCCGCGGAGCGGCGGAGCGCGCCCCTTCATCCCTCGGGACCCGGCCAGGCCGCAGCGCGAGGCTGCGTGTGCCGCTGGCGCGGCGGTGGAGGCTGCCGCCCGTAGATGCTGGGGGGCGGACATTGTATTCCGACGGGCGTTCGAGGCGGCACACGCACACTCGCCCCGTGTTGATCGCCTCTGCATGCACGCGGTGCTGCGACCCCAATGCCACGGAACACCGTGTCTCCCCCGCGGTAGCAGCGGGCAGCCGTCGCGTCTAAGAGGGTACCCCGCACCGCCAGGCCGCCGTCAAGGAGGAGGTGCGCGGCGAGCACACGCGCAAGCGGAAGCCGACCCAGCTGTACGACGGCGGCGGCGGGCAGGGCGTCGCGTACGTCCCTCCCGAGCCGTCGGGCGGAGGGAACGTCTCCCGCTCGCGCATCGCGTACGGCTCGGACGGCCTGCAGCTGGTGATTGGAGCCGCCGTGGTCATTGTCAAGCAGGGCGAGCCTCCCCCCTCCCCCCCCTTCACTCATTCATTCGTTCATTCCATTCACTCTATTCACTCCGTTCACTCCATTCACTCGTTTCACTCTATTCACTCCGTTCACTCCGTTCACTCGTTTCACTCTTTTCACTCCGTTCACTCCGTTCACTCTTTACTTTTCACTCCATTCACTCGTTTCACTCTTTTCACTCTTTTCACTCCGTTCACTCCGTTCACTCTTTACTTTTCACTCCATTCACTCGTTTCACTCTTTTCACTCCGTTCACTCCGTTCACTCTTTACTTTTCACTCCATTCACTCGTTTCACTGTTTTCACTCCGTTCACTCCGCTCACTCCGTTCTTCAATCATAGGTCGTCGGCCTCACCCCCGCGCCCCACCGCCCACTAGCGAGGCCGCAGCACGCACCGCAGCGCGCGGCAGCGCGGCCGCCGCCGCCGCCCCGCCGGCCGCGCCCGACCAAGCCCAAGCCGCCGCGCATCTCGTGGCGCGACCTGGGGGGGGAGGAGGCGGAGGAGGCGCCCGCGGCGGCGCACGAGCACGTGTACGCGCGCGCCGTCAAGTCTCGGCCACGCGACGTTGGCGAGGCGAGCGAGAGTCCCCGAGAGAGCTTCCCGAGAGAGTACCCGAGAGAGCACCCGAGAGAGCACCCGAGAGAGCACCCGAGAGAGTACCCGAGAGCACCTCTTCGCCCTCCAGTAATCTCGACCGCACGTAGCACCACGTGAGCAATCGTTCTGATGCGAGAGCGCCAGCCGCCTCTGGGAGGCATCAGTAGCTCTCGCGTACTCTTTGGTGATCTCGCTTCATCTCAGGCGGTGGAGATCTGGGGAGATATGGGGAGATACGATCTCGCTTCATCTCAGGCGGTGGAGATCTGGGGAGATATGGGGAGATACGATCTCGCTTCATCTCAGGTGGTGGAGAGATGGGGAGATATGGGGAGATATGATCTCGCTTCATCTCAGGTGGTGGAGATATGGGGAGATATGGGGAGATACGATCTCGCTTCATCTCAGGTGGTGGAGATCTGGGGAGATATGGGGAGATATGGGGAGATACAATCTCGCTTCATCTCAGGTGGTGGAGATATGGGGAGATATGGGGAGATACGATCTCGCTTCATCTCAGGTGGTGGAGATATGGGGAGATATGGGGAGATACGATCTCGCTTCATCTCAGGTGGTGGAGATATGGGGAGATATGGGGAGATACGATCTCGCTTCATCTCAGGTGGTGGAGAGGGTCGAGTACCTCCTCGCGCTCCACCCGCCCGAGGACCACGCCGACCAGCTCGCGTCCGCACACGCACACGCCCCGCCGCTCGCCGCGCTGCACGCCGCGCCCGAGGGGGCCGGAGGCACGCGCGCCGCCGCCGCCGCCGCCGCCGCGCCGGCGTTCGGGGGCGAGGCGCTGCGCATGTCGTACACGCTGCGGTCTGCAGGGGGGCGGGGCGGCGGCACGGCCGCCGAGCTGGCCGAGTTCCAGGCGCGGGGAGATTTGGGGGGGATCTGGGGAGATCTGGGGAGATAGTGCCCACCCTCCAGGTGATACGGGGAGATATGGGGAGGTGAAAGGGAGTGCCCACTCCCCCTCTCTCTCCCTCTGTTTTTCTCTAGTAGGGAAGGGTCCGCGTTTTGAGGTTTCCCCCTCTCTCCAGGCGCCTTGGTGGGCTGGGCAAAGCCCGGGGTGTTTGGGTCGCTTCCCCCGCCAGTTTTAGTCTGCCGGGGGGGCCCGCACGGGTTTCCTGGAGGGGGTTT